AAACGAAGACAAGTAAAGTTTACAAATCCACATTTGAGAATCGTAAACACTGTTTACGTCTTTTTGTCAGAATCAGAGGTTAGTGTAAAAGGGCAAACACACACACACACACACACACACACACACACATGGCTGCAGGGTAAAATTGTCCTGAATTGGTTCCAGATTTGGAGGAAATGATCTGTACCTTCTTAATTCCCACTGCGCCGCTCCCACTCTAACCCACACATGGAAAGAGCGTCTCAGACGCAGTAACTGTGACATACTGTACATTACAACTGCTTCTCAGGGATTCATCATCATTTCCACGCGCCGCACCACCGCAGAGGGGGGAAAGTGTTTACGCACCGATTTGTGTGTATCGTGATTAATCACACTGCTGACGTCACGTCCGTGAAACATGACAGAGCTCAAATCTACCACTGAAACTCTCATTTCTCTACCTCCATGTTTCTGTCCACGTAAAGCTGGATTCACGCTTTTGTGTTGGTCGACATAATTTGTGTTTAAACTCATTTAATCGATTGGATGTGTCTTTGCAAATTCTCAAAATTTGCTGTTAAATCCTTCGTGGGTGAATGAATCACCTGAAGTGAGAGTTAAAGGTTGAAGAGGAAACAGCTTCACGAGATTCACAAAGCAGACTGTAACACTCTTCACCTGGTTCGTCCTCGTCTCCAAACCCGAAACACACGTCTGCCCTGAAACTGCTCAGCAACCAAGTACAGAACTTTGAGTTTCAGAAAAAGGGGCCGGACGTGCAGCGAATCGTCAGTTTACTGGAGCTGCGTTGTTTTTATCTTGCTGAAAAACGTTTTCCTCCTGCTGCTGGAAACACGTCTGATAGCGCTCAGTCGAGCTGAGGGGAAGTGTGATAGCTGACCGTCAGACTCACTCCATCCATTAGTTCTTTGGAAATTATCTTTATACTTCAGCTGCTAAGTGGTTAAAATCAATCTTCTGTATTAATAATGGATCAAATGAAGCAGCGGAGGCTCCTTCAAGAGGAGGTGGAGACCAAAACCAGAGCCAACAGAGAATAAAGATAATAAATGTTAAACCAAAGTTGGTTTCTCTCACGTGAGAAAGTTCTTATCACACTGATGTTTGTTCACGTCTGAATTATTTGGGATGAACTTTAATTCGTTAAATGTCATGATGTCATGAAGACTCTGGCTCCGAATGACATGAAACACGCAAGATGGCGGCACCCGGATCCAGAATATTTGTATTTGTATTAAAGTTATACTCAGTTATTCTCTCGCATCTCAGTATAAAACCAGGTGGTTTTACGTTTCGGTTTGGTTGTGACAGAGCGAGTCAGAGATCTAAAGCAGGAAGCTCTGGAGATCGTGTTGTGTAATTACGGCCCTGAAGTGACGTCCTCCTCACATGTGTCCAACACGTTTCTGGAGGAACACCCAGGTGGAGGGAGGACGGACGGGAGGAGAGATGGAGGGAGGGAGAGATGTCGAGGAGAATAGTGTCTTTGTTTCTGTGTTTCTCTTTTGTCTTTGGTTCTTCTGGGCTGTTCATGAGTTAATATCCTGGAGCTGGAGCTGGTGGCCTCGCTCTGGTGGTCCATGACACACACACACACCCACACACTCATTGGCCCTTACCTTCACCTCAATCATCACAACAGCTCTAACCTAAACCAGATCTAACCTCAACACAACCCAGACACAAACCAGGACACATTGTCGTGCGGTTGTTTTTTCTGGAGTCTCTGTGATCTTGATAAAGTTTCAGATTAAATTGCAGAATCCCAGATGGTCCGTTTTTCATTTTCATTTTTTAAGCATCGACAGAAACTCACGGACGAATGAATGAGCTGCAGATCCTCTCAGGCTGTCAGGAAGTGAAATAATAAACAATTTGTGCTTTTTATTGTATTCATCATAAATAATTTCAGTGTCCGATTGTTCTGTATTTAATATCCTCAACATAATAACTTGTTAGACGTCACACGAGGATCAAATGATCAGACTTAAATCAGACTCAGGGTCAGCGTCCTTCAGAGGACAGAGTCTGCCCAGCCCACGGAGACCACCTCCTTGGTGGGACTACATTATGTCGACCTCATCACTTACTGTCACTATTTAAACCGACTCTACCATGAACAATCTGCTCGTCACAGATTTCACCTAAAATCCAGAATCTGGTCTGTTTGTGAAAATCAATTCATTTCTTTTGTTTCTCAAAAAGTTCTGAAAAAGTTGAATCAATAATTACACTGATGTCAAAGAAAATGACTCAAGATCAATAACCGATCATTGATCTTCCTCCTGGAACCCGATGTAATAATTAACAATTCATTTCCGCTCTGAGAACTCTGCTGCAGATTTCAGTGTTTTAGCTGCACAAGCTTCACTGAGGAGTTTAACTCACTAGGTGGGAGCAGAGGACAGAGGAAACTGGGTCAGTCAGCGAGAACAACATGTCAGTACACAGAACACTACGACTTCTGCTGATGAAGACGTTTATGTAAAGTACAGGAAATCAAACCCACGGGGGAAAAAAAGGACCGTTGGTGAATTATCTAAGAACCGGAACTTCGAAGAGTAAACACAACTTTTAGAAGATGTTTCTTTTATTTTGAAAATCAGATTTCATGGAACAAACAAGGCCTTTCCGTAAGATCATACTTTCAAATGAAACTAGAAAAACACGTCTCTCAGACCAAACCCTCCGCTCACGTCGACGACAACAGCATTCAGCGGCAGGAGGTCAAAGGTGGAAACATTGAGACTTTAAATCATTGTTGTTTCACCCGGTTCACGAAAACCTTTGTGATGCAAATGGTCTGAATGTGTCAGTGCAGCAGCAGCAGCAGACATCTGAGGTCAGTGCACATCAGTTCATGTGGAAGCTTCCAGACGAAGGGAGCGAAGCCGCAGCTTCCGGAAAACATCTACACGACAAAGAGACGTCGAAGCTCCGCAGCAAACGAGATGCGGCAAAGACCTGGAGTTTAAAATCAGCTTTAAATATCATGAAACATTCATTTGTCTGGAACGAGGGACAAACCAAACACAGGAGATGTTTCTACTTCAGCTTCGAGAGAGGTCGGTGGGTAAACTGGCTGCAGTTTGCTACGTCACCACTAGATGCCAGTAAATCCCACACACGGGTCCTTTAAAGCGTAAGAAACGATTCACTTACACCTGCTGGAAGTTTTTACCATAATCGCCTGTACGCAGCTACACAGACTTTTCAAACACAGACATTTACCATCAGCTGGATTCCAAAGCTGCTGGAGATGATAATTCTCGCGCAGCTTCGTTTTCAATTCCTCAAAGTCAGAGAGCATCTTCAGCAGGACAGTGTCGGTCAGACGGACGACGTGTGAGAAGAGAAGGAAGAGGAAGTGTGATCTCAGCTGCTCGTGCAGAATAACGCTGTGTTCACAGGAACAAAAAACAAGAAAACACACAAACCTGTGTCTGAGTGAAGGAAACTAGATTAACAACACAGTTGATTCTTTGTCTGTTCAAACGTCCAAAACGTTCTATCAGGGATTTGTCGAGATAGTTTTGTGACCAGCACAAATTCTAAGAATATATTTTGAGGTCATTTTCCTTCAATGTGAAAAATGTTTAAGCTTTGAGGAAGGAATCGTTCAAATGAAACCACAGAACCAGAGTTTGAAAACATCATTAATCAGTTTGACACAAATAGAAGCGGTTGCTTCATTTCTCCTTTAACTCTAAATCAACAGTTCCTGTTTTCTGAACAGTTTTAAATCCTCCTAATTATCCCCCCAAAAAAAAATCTTTACAAAAGACTGAAACAGCTGTGAAAACTTTCCTACAACAACAAAACAAACGTGTCCTGAGCATCTACTCTGTACAAATCAATTTCCCATCATCCCCCTGAGTCAGGCGAGTCTGCAGCAGCTAATCAGGACATCGATCGTGTTAATGAGACTCAGACGTTCACTGGCTTGTTTTATGTCTCTCGGACTTTACTTCCTGTCTCCCTCAGATTCAACCTGAGCTGTGACTTCATGATGCTGGCAGACGACTCTCACCCTGTCAGGAGGGAGGGAGGGAGAGAGAGAGAGAGGGAGGAGGAAACTCGCTCAAAACCACCGAGGAGGCAGCAGAGATTTATGATCTCACCTCGACAACAGAACAAACATCGACTTGTTCCACTTCACAGCTGTAATTTCCTCCTGTTACAAGTTAGTCTGCACCTAAAGCTGCAGCTGTGAGAACTTTGTGACCGTTACATGCACGAGAACAAGTTTACTTAGAAAGATTTAAACACGTGTGCAACACGTTCACAGAGTCGGAATGTACAGACCGAGTTTCACAGCTGAACACACAAGACTCAACGTCCCCACAGAGACGCAAAGTTATTCAAAGGGACACGATGGAACTTCTGTGACCTTCAGGCTTGATTAAAAACGGGTTTGATGGTTGAGTGTGAACATGGAGAATGTTCCCAGTGTAACTCTGGTGAGTGGGTTCGGTCTCCTGTGAGAAGAACTGACATGAGTCACAGCTTCAACTGTCACAAACTAGAAGAACTCATCCCCGGGACAAACTTCCTGGAGATCGGAAAACAAACAAATCCCAGCCCTCCTCAAAATGTCATGGAATTTGATTCTGACTTGATTTGAAACATAACCTAGAAAGTCATTAGCAGCGGCTCTTATGGTCCAGGAAGCCGGGGATCATGGGTAATATCCAGCGTTCAGTCGTGTTTCAGTTCAGCTACACTCCAGACATTGGCTGCAGAGGGCGCTGTTGCTCAGTGAACTCACGTTGCGTTGCTTTAAAAGTTAATTTGAAGTGAGCGATTGAATTTAATTACAGGACCATTTCAGCTTCTGTATCGGGGGGGGGGTCCATCACATCTGGGCGGGGCCTGACCGAGAGGGTGTGAATCACTGCACCAGACGACCCATCAGTCAAATCTTCACACGCCACACGTGGTGGTTAAAATGAAAGAAGAAACTGGAAGAAACTGAACCAAACACAACAAACACTCACTGACTCTTGACATAAGCAGATTTATTGTTCTTGCTCTGTGCGGTTTTACATAAACACGTATGTGCTGGTGCGGGTCATCCGTGTGAAGACGTTCAGGAGGAATGCTGCACTGGTGATTTATGTTTCAGGGAGGATCAGTCAGCTGTACCACCTCATTTCATTCGGCACAGTATGTACAAAAGTACGCAAGGAAATAATATTTACATACTCTCCAATCGCTCAAAACACTCAACGCCAGGTCCCGGCCACTTTCACTGTAAGACCATCAAATAGAGAAGAAGAAGAAGAAGAAAGGCCACAGAGCTCCTCCCACCTAACGTGTCCCGCTGTCAGATTTAACTGTGACACTCTCCTTAGAAGATTCCAGATGTTTCCACCCACTCCCACAGCTGGACGACAGTTTCACAGGGGAACATATGACATACTGCGTTACCAGTATCACACAGTAGAGCCACAGCCCGCTGGACGCCGCGCAGCCGGGGTAGAGGGCCTTGCTCAAGGGCACCTCAGGGGAGAGAGCGACCTTCCCGTCACAAGCTCGATTCTCACCGGCCGAAACTCAAGCGACCGCAGCTACTTGGAGGCGACGTGATCGTGGGTGTGACGTATTTACTTGAGCACATGAGAATGCTTCAAGGCCGTCACCACAGCGTGCAGTCGTTAACATGTGTTTCTGATCGGGATGTTAAGGGTTCAGAGGTTGGTGATATTTTATATTTTTATGACCGTCACATTTAAATTCAACGAAAAAGACCGAAAGCAGCTTCAGGGATCCGTCAGGGAGCCACACCTCTGCACTGCTCGTTCTTTTTTTTTAACCCAATCAGCTCCGGTTCTTCAACTTGTTCCTGTCAGAATTATTGAAAACCTAGAAATTCGTGCTCACCAGTTTTGCGTGAACCCATAAATAAAGGTGTCATCAGCGCACGGCTTCACACAACCTGTAGAATCTGACGGTGCTGAGGAACCCGACTTCTTCATTCTGGTTAAAATACTTTGTTCGCTTCAATATTTAGAATCCGACTCACAAACGCTGTCGGCTGCAGCTCGTGTTCTGTTTTATTATCTTCCAAACAGTAAAAATAACTATTGTGATTTCTGTCTTCAACAGACAAAAAACTAAATATATTATATTTACTGTGGGAAAAGGAGCCTGACGATGGAATTAGAAAATATTTAGTGGTTTTTGGAGAAAGAATTATCACAGATCAATTATCTATTAATTGATTAATCAATTCATTATTGTTGAATTCTCCCCGTGGCTCCATATGTGGATTTATCCGCTGCAGAGAATCGTCACAAATAAGCTCATCAATTTCTCCTATTTAAAAAAAAAAGTAATCTTTAACTTCATCCACCACCTGCAGGGAAATATTTAGCTTTTTCTTCAAGATAAACTTTCTACCTTTGCCATGTTCTCAGAGATTTATGTGTTAGGTCTGCATCTGAGGCTGATTCTCAAAGTACTGACAGACGACCACGTCGCTGAGTTTCGGTCTTTTCATTGGATCTGGTGAGAAGGAGACAAATAGAAGGTAAATCAGTCGCATCCTGTGAGAGGTGAGAAGCTGCGGGGGCGAGCTGGTACCCTGTGGTTCAGATGGAGAGAGGAGTGCAAGTGGAGCAAACAACAACACAAACAAACACAACATTAAAGAAAATCTAAATCTTTCGCTGTGCAAATCGAAGGTAAGACATCTATTGCTTAGTAAATGTTAGTAGTACCACACCGTCGTCACAGCCACCTTCAGGAATATGTGCTTTTTTTTTTTTTTTTTTTTAATGATCCCGTGAATTTGAAACGATCTGAAGACGAGTGAAGTTCATGTTGTTCAGAGTCCTGTGCATAGTTTAGACTAAAAAAGGGGATTTTTTTTAAAGTGTTTATAAAAATATACAAATATAAGTCGATGTTCTGAACAAAGAGTGATTCGAAGTTGTTGGAGTTATGGACGTTTGTTTATCTCGTGTGACGTCAGATAAACTCACTGCTAACTCTAACTTTCTCTCTCTAAACAGGACCAGGGAGTTTGTGCATCATTGCTCCTCCGCCCGCTGCCACCGCCACGACCGACGCACACGGAGGAAGAACAGGAAGTCAAAAAAATTTTTTCTCTGTGGTCGGCTCCAATCTTCTGCGTAGAGATAAAAAGGCCACATATTCCCGCCTCCGACCTCGGACACAGTCTAGTTCATTTCACGTCAGTGATCAGCGCCGTGCAGAGGGATGAGTGTGTTCGGTCCATCTCGGCCCCGTCCTCCAGGGATGTGTTCGTTGGACCGGTCCTGCCGCGCCCCTGTGCTGAGGGATCAGTGGACCCCTCCGTTGTAGGACTTCCCGTACATGTTGAAATCTGTTTCTACGAAGTGTGTGGAGATGGGCTGCTTGTACAGAGGGTTGGAGGCCTGAGAGGGAGAGGAAACACATCTCGTCACACTGCCTCGTATTTACAGACGCGTTAATGGTCAGAAGTGTGAGTCATCCTCACCATCTCGTATCGGGCTCGTGAACGTGCATTCTGGAAGCGTGCAAACTCTCGCCGGTCGTGAATGGTGATGACGAGCTTCCAGACAGCGAGCAGCGCGACTCCCACCAGCAGGATGCTGCCGACGACGGCCAGCAGCACCGTCAGGGCGTCCGGGCCTCCGCCACACTCTGACACCGGAGAGAGAAAAGTCACTAAAGCTGTTTGCAACACGAAGCAAATGTGAAGTTCAGGAAAATAGCAGAGCTTCAGGTTCGTTCATGTCAGGACCTAAAAATCTAAAACTAGATTCTTAGCAGATGTTCAGTTCAGACCAGAGAATAACAAAGAAAACGTAATTTGTTGTTGAAAATTCCGACCTGGCTCTTTAAGAGCGGTGAGGATGGATCGCCCGCTGGCGTGCTCCGAGTACGTGAATTTCATGACACAATCGTTGTCTGTCTTATAGAGACAAAGCACAGCGCCGGGGTCGTCAGAGTCTGGAGAGAGAGAGACACAGAGAAACACACCGAGGGTCAAACACTGAGACAAAGAAAAGAAGGAGACGCACAGAAGGAAACAGCATCTTACAAAAACAAAACGGCCTTGAAGACAATGTGTTTCTTTTTTATTGACTTCTTGTTATCGAGCTTCTCATTCCTCATGATGTCCATCTCCAGATGCAGCCTCTGGCTTTATCATTATTATCTCAAGATTAAAAAAACACAAAATCACATAGTTTGAATTTCTTATCTGTGAAATCAGTGAAAAATGAAAACGCCCCCCGATCGAGCCGCTGACGCTCTGTGTGCCCTCGTTTTCAGTCAATCTTCATCAACCCAAATATCTCAAAAACTCACAAGGGAGGGTGAGGTCAGAGCGCCCTCACCCCCCCCCTCCCCAATCCCATCAGCCCCTCCTCCGCTATTTCATGCACAAAGTATCTGGAATGTACATGTGGAGTCTATTAAGGCCAGTCAGATGGCTGAACGAGCGGGGGAATGCTATGAAACGAGTCGGATCCGAGCCAGGGCAGCGCCGGGCCAATATGGAAAGGTCTTATAATAGCCTCTGTAGCTGAACACACAGCAGACAAGTCTCCTCGGCCTCCGGCGCGCAGAGCGACGCAGCGTCTCAGTGTGATGAAAGGCCGTAGATCACTTTGCACTTGTTAATACATTCCTAAACATCTCCCGACTGGTTCCCACCGGGCTGTGGGGGACAGAAAAGGGTTTCTGCAGATTTCAACAAGTTCGATTTAAGACTTTTTAAATCCATAATGGATTACGTCCAAGATCCACGTCAAGTATATGACGGATATGACGGAAAATTCCAGTTCCCCGTCACTGAAGATAAGTTTAGGTTGTTTACCAAAGTGTTAAATTCTGACCGTGGTGTAGACGACCAGTTACCAGTTCCTCGTTGCTCTTGTTCGCAGTTTATTTGAAATGATATTTTATTTAAATTTCTCTACAAAAGAAAGAAAACACCAGGTCTTGTTTGTAGTTTTATTAAAGCGCGCTGACGTTCGTATCGCTGAGAAAGATCATATTCGATTCATAATCATATTTAAGACCTTGTAGTTATATTTTAACAAAAGTTAAGACTTTTCAAGGCCTAAAGTTCAAATGATTGAGTTTAAGATTCTTGCAGAAACCCCTCACACTGCAGCTCTCTGGTTCTTAAATGACCGGAGAGGTGCAGCTCGACATGTTTGCTTAGTGGGTGGAACTCTCCCGATAGAGGAGCACGGACACAGGAGGAGCTCTGTCAAATCTTGAGCCTGAATAGACTGAACTCTTTGAACCGCACCAGAGGTTTCGGTCGAGGATCGGCTGCCGTTTCCTGCTGCGTGAGGCCGAAGAGAGAGAGAGAGAGAGAGAGAGAGAGAGAGAGAGACACACCTGCTGCAGGATAATACAGCGTAAACACCAGGACTACAATGACCAGTGTTTTCATTAGTCATCAGAGGTGTGTGAGGCCTCAGACCAGGAAAGATGTGAGGCAGAGAACCTGCAGCTATTCCACAGTCTGTGTGAGGCTGAGCTCAAAGCTAACAGGCTGATGTTCAGCAGAAAGAATCCAGTTCAGAGGCAAGAGATTCGTTTATGAGCTTCAGAAGAAAATGTCACCCAGACGCCGCCGTGGAGACACGAGCTTGATGAACAGCAGGTTGTTCTTCACATAAATACACGATGCAGATGTTGATCAGTTCAGTGAACGTGTTTTAAATATACTACGTCCTGTTATCGAGTGTCAATATTTCAAATATTGTTGCTCTCGGAGTGTCAGTGTTTTTAAACCGAATGGTTTTCAGCTTTTATTACTTGGAAAATATTTTCATAAGCCTTGATTTGTTTTTTTAAAGATTGTTGTTACAGTGGAACGGCAGAAACACATTTCTGAGAGGATGAGGAAGCTTTTAGCTAGCATGACAATGTTCTACCATTACTCTGAACTGTTTCATGAGTCACATCACTTCAACTGTCCTCGTTCTTGTTTTTATTTCCTTTCCCGAAAGCATTTTACAACGGCCGTTTTTAAAAGGTGCTACATAAATAAAGTCATTATCATTCCTCAGTGTGAATGTCTGTATGTACGTCATCACGTCTGAGTAGTTAAGTACTTCAGGTGACATCACTGTGGGCGGGGCCCCAACAACGAAAACAACAACAGTGAGAGCTGAAATTAAAAGTGACGGTCGAGGAGGTCTGTGATGTGAGAAGTGAAATTGTGTCAGACGCCACAGATGTGAAGACGTCTCTCTGCCGACCAGCTGCTCCCAGTGTGTGTGTGTGTGTGTGTGTGTGTGTGTGTGTGTAGAATAGGTGTGTACTCACTGAAGCTCTCCACAGTGATGATTTCATCCTTGCACAGGCGCTGGCAGGTCTGGTTGTCTGCAAGTCGTCCCGAGTCGAAAAGCCGGCACTCGATACACTCCCTGAAGAAGAGGAGGAGAAGTTCAGAGGAAAAACATGCAGAGCTTCTTCTAAATTCAGTGTTCACCAGCTTCTGGCCTAATTCTCTAAATGTGTTATTGTTTCAGCTCCGTTTGTTTTCTTTGCTGCAGGAAATGACTCCGTCAGCTCAACAGTCAGTGAGTGAACAGGCCACCGGACGAATAATCCACAGCCAGTGAGCTCAGTATCTGACGTCTGCATCAGGGAGCGGCGCTGTCACAGTCTCTTTAGGTTTGAGGGACATTTTCAAACGTTCTGCCACAACACACCGTGACATGCCTCCGTGACATGCCTCCGTGACATGCCTCCGTGACATGCCTCTGTTAAAGCCGTCTAATACAACGGTCCTGAGTTCACCCCTCCCTTCATGAAGGGTAGAACGTTATTGATTCCAGTGTCTGATCATTCTGGAGGAAGGAGTTTCTGGTTTTTGTTGTTGAGCTGCACATGAGAGATGTTTTTCTATTATTTTATATCAATTAGTAATTAACACAAACTCTATGTCACGAAAAACCATTTGACAGTGTCACAAACTGCAGCCTCCAAAAAAAGTGTTTGTTGAAACAGCATCTCTCCAAAACAGTTTCCACAAAAATGTAGTTTTTCAAGCTGAAAGAAGCAGGTTTCAACTTTTCATTTTCAAATTAAAGTTAAACTTGGAACTGGACAAACTCAAGGCTTCAAAACCGCAGCTCACAAACAAACGGGTGATAAATAAATCTTTTTTCAATCTCCGGCTAACAAATCATAGGAAACTAAAACAAAAGCCGAGAAGGTTCGGTTGCTTCTCAGTTTCATTTCATCTGTCGAATACCATCGTACTGGACGCACACGTCGCCCAAAAGCGCTGATAACCCGTCTCCTCGTTCAAACCTGGTCAAAGGTCAAAGGTCGTCCCATAAAGCCCTCCTGTGCCTGGGAGAACCAGAGCCATGTGCATGTAAGTTGTTGAGAGGACACAGCAGTTACTCCGTCCTCACACAAGACAGCTCTCTCTCTCTCTCTCTCCTGGACGCCTGATAGACGTTTGTCCTCAGCCTCAAAGAGCCTGAGCCGCCACGCTGACGGATGTGGGTTCAAACGACGGGGCCACAGTTTCACTTCGTGAGGTCACAAACGGAATGAGAGCGATCTTAAGTCTCTGTTATGACAGAGTCAGATAAACGAGTGAGTTATGTTCCCGGAGGTCGTCGAATGCTCTGCTGGCAGATTCTTACCTCTTAGTTCCACAGGCATCGGGGCAGGTGGGGCATTTTTCACACGTATCTCCGAAGGCGCCGGGCTCGGTGCACTGACAGCGGCCGCACACGCAGTTGCCCCGCCCGCTGCACATCTGCCCGTCGTCCGAGACGCAGGTGGACGTCTCCGTGGAGCAGTTGCAGTTGTCGCCGATGTAGCCGGCGTGACATTTGCACTCACCGCAGTGACATTCTCCGTGACCTGGACGAGGAGAGAGAGAGGAGGAATGTAAATATGGAAGTCAAACCAAACATGGACGACACGATGGTTCCAAAAAAGTAAAGCTAAAGCGTCTGGATCGCCCCCTGGTGGCAGGCTGCAATATAGGTCAAACCCCCTTTCTGAGTACCCGGGGGTTTGAACCCAGAAAAGACTTCCTGTGTGGCGATGGTGTTAACCACTGTTCCACCCGTACAAGCAGCTTCCTACAAACCAACTTTGTCCACAGAGGCTCCGTGCACACAAGTGCATCGGTCCAGATACTCGGTTGTGTTGTTGGTGGAGACATTTGTGATCAACGTCAGTGTGTGTGTGTGTGTGTGTGTG